GAAAAAGAGGGCAATCGAAGAACAAGAAAGATATTACGTGCTGGAATTGCAAACAGAGTGTTCACTTCAGAAATTAGTGTACGGTAGGGCCAACCGGAAAAGGTAAGCAGAGAGTTAACATAGCCTCTGAAAATTCTGATGACGCACTGATTTATTGCTCTGAAAGTCCAATTTTGGAATCCTGGATTATGGATTCTAGGGCTTCATTCCATGCCTCTCACAACACAAACATGATGAAGAATTTCAAGGCTGGAAATTTTGGCAAAGTTCGGTTAGTAGATGATAAAACATTGGACATCAAGGGCATGGGTGACATAGTTATTGAAACTCCTCTTAGTACCGATTGTACGTTGAAGAACGTGAGATACATTCCACGTCTCAAGAGAATGTTGATCTCAGTTAGGCAATTGGATGACCATGGACATCACGTTGTCTTCGGAGACAGTCAATGGAAAGTGGTAAAAGGTAGTTTGGTTGTTTCCCGTGGTTATAAGAAAGGGACTTTATACATTGTTGAAGTACTAACAGATGGATTCAATGCAGCTATTGGTGACATGGGGGGCTCTAATTGTGGCACCAAAGACTTGGGCACATGAGCGAGAAAGGTATGAAGATGCTAGCTTCAAAGGGTAGGATTCCAGGTCTGAAAAATGTGGCAGTTGGTTTCTGTGAGCCTTGTGTTTACGGAAAACAAAAAAAGGTCACCTTTGCAAAATCAAGTATGACACGAAAATTTGAAAAGTTGGAGCTGGTTCATATAGATGTCTACAGGCCTACAACAGTTTCATCAATAGGCGGATCAAAGTACTACGAATCGATGATTCCACCAAAAATGTGTGGGTTTATTTTCTGAAAGATAAACCTGATGTTTTCAGTACTTTTAAGAAGTGGAAAGCTATTGTTGAAAATGAGACTAACTTGAAAATAAAGTGTTTGAATTATGATAATGGTGGTGAATATAACAACAAAGAATTTATCGATTACGGTGCTAAGCATGGGATTAGAATCCCTAAAACAGTCCCAGAGACACCTCAGTAGAATAGTGTTGCTGAAAGAATGAACAAAACACTAAACGAAAGAGCAAAGAGTATGAGGATTCATGTAGAGTTGCCAAAGATGTTCTAGGCAGAGTCAGTTAGTACATCAGCGTATCTCATCAATCGTGGACCTTCAGTTCCATTAGGGTTCAAGATTCTAGAAGAAGAATGGTTGGGCAATGAGATAAGTCTCGCACACTTGAGAATTTTTGGTTGTACAACTTATGTCAAAAGTGAAAGATGCTGACAGAGATAAGCTAGATGAAAAAATGCACATTCATTGGATACAGTTCAAACGAGATGGGCTATAGGTTTTGGGATGACTGTAATAGAAAGGTCATAAGAAGCCAAGATGTAACCTTCAAAGAAATTTCTATGCACAAGAAACCAGAAACAAAATAGTCTGAAAAAAGTGTTAAAACACAGTCAATGACGAGAAATCAAGTTGTGTTTGGAGACATGACAGAAAGTGACCTTGTTGGCTCAAATAAAAGAAACAAAGCAGATTCAAGTAAGGAGATGAGAACTGGTTAGAACTTGGTTTTTGGTAAGGGATTAGAAAGCAATAAGAGCTCAGTTTATAGTGGGAGCTTAGCTAATAGTGGGAGCACATAAAACAACTATGTTGATGAAGATGTCTCAGAAGTTCCATAGTTACAGAGATCCACTAGAGAATCCATACCTATAAAGAGAGATTCTCCATCAACAACTATTTATTGTTGACCGAAGATGGTGAGCCAAAAAGTTTTTCAGATGCCGTAAAATGGAGCAGGCTATGAAAGAAGAAATGGGTTCATTACAAAAGAATCATACTTGGTGTTTGGTCAGATTACCAACAGGAAAGAAAGCGTCGCAAAACAAAAGGGTGTTTAGGATCAAAGAAGAACATGGTGTCAACAAAAAGTATAAGGCACTGCTGGTAATTAAAGAGTTTCAACAGAAAAGAGGGGTCAATTACAATGAGATCTCTTCTCCAGTTGTGAAGATGACTATAATCAGATTGGTCTTAAGTATGGTAATTGCAGTAGACTTGCATCTAGAGCAGCTAGATGTCAAGACAACATTCATACATGGAGATCTTGATGAAAACACCTACATGGTGCAACCAGAAGGCTTTTAGGTGGATGGAAAAGAAAACATGGTGTGATTTTTAAAGAAAATCTTGTATGGTTTGAAACAAGCACCAAAGCAATGGTATTTGAAGTTTGACAACTTTATGAGGAGGAAGGGATACATGAGAAGTCGCATGGACCATTGTTCTTGAAAAAAATTCAAGTCTTCCTATATTATATTGTTGTTATATGTTGGTGATATGTTGATTGCAGGATCATATATGAAAGAAATCAACATATTAAAGAAAGATCTATCTCAAGAATTTGTGATGAAAGATCTAAGGGCAGTAAAGAAAATTCTTGGTATGAACATTAAAAGAGATAGAGCACATGCCACTCTAAACTTATCCCAAGGGAAATATATTGGGAAGGTTCTAGAGAAGTTCAATCTAAAGGATGCTAAGGTCAGACGTACACCCCTAGGTCGATTCAAGTTTACAAAGGGACAATTACCTCAAACGAATAAAGACAAGGAAGAGATGGCGAAAGTTCCTTAAGCATCTGCAATTGTTAGATTGATGTATGCCATGGTATGCACAAGGCCAAACATTGCTCATGCATTGGATTTGTTAGCAGATTCATGTCAAATCCAGGAAAAGAGCATTGGGAAGCAGTCAAGTGGCTTTTATGCTACTTAAAAAAAAGGCACATCTAAGCTAACACCATGTATCAAAAAGAAAGGTGTTGTCTTAGATGGCTATGTAGATGTTGACTTGGGTGGTTGTTCAGACTCAAGCAAAAGTACTACTGGTTATGTGTTCACATTGGGAGGAACAACTGTTAGTTGGATCTCTAGATTACAGAGAACTGTTGCTCTCTTAACCACAAAAGCAAAATACATAACACTTGCAGAAGCAAGTAAAAAGCTTATGTGGTTGAAGAACTTTCTTTCAGAATTAGGCATGAAACAAAAAGATTGTGCCCTATACTTTGATAACCAGAGTGCAGTAAATCTAGCGAAGAATTCGGTGTTTCATAGTAGAACGAAACACATAAAGATGAGGTATCACTTTATCTGAGATTTGGTAAGTGATAGAACATTGTCATTAAGGAAGATCCTTGGTTCAAAGAATCCTGCAGATATGTTTACTAAGGTGGTGAAAACTGATAAGTTGAAGCTTTGCATAACTTCAACTGGCCTTCTAGATAATTGATGAAGAAGGTGTCTCACTAGTAAGAAGGACTTGTACATGTTAGGGGTTGACTGGAGTTACAAAACATGGATGGCAGTGGAGCTGATCAACCTCCAAGTGGGAGATTGTTAAGTTATGGAGTCTGATTAATTAGCAGTGGGGCCTAATATTAGAGAAAGAAAACTCTCAAGATTTTGGGTCCGACCCACTTGTGTGTTTAATCTATTTTACTTCTATAAATTCAATCTCATGCAACTGTAAACCCCAACCGTCATATCAATAAAATTCTTACTAGTGTGGTCGTGGACTGTGAACCACGTAAATTCCTGTGTGTCCTTTCTCTTTTTCTGTTCTTACTTTATCGTCGTCGTGTTCGTGTGAGTGATCTTGAGCATCGCTTCCCAACATCTTCATCGCCATCATGGACCGAAAACGATATGTGAAGATCAAGGATTAATTGTTGATCGATCTTAATATTTTTGTTCAAACAAGACTGACTTCTTACCAACCCACAGGTTGTGAGACTGGACCAAGTACGAAGAATGAATCTATATATGTGCACGGAAGGGCCGATGATTTTATTGTCTCATTACCCATTTGGTTTTTTTTGTTTCAGTTTTTTAGATTTAGAATTAGATTAGATTTAGGGTTTTTGATTGATGTGTTTTGTACAACAAATTTTGCAAATAAAATTGTATTTATTGATGTTTTTGTGTTCTTGAAGTTGGTTGATGTCCTTGAATATGATATCTATAGAAAAGATGCCATGAATCATAAGGCTGGCTTCAAACAATCTTGCACATATTCAAATCCAAAAGTTGCTAGTCAAGTCTATTTGAACGAAAAATATGATGAAACATCCCTCCATAAAAAATATATATACAATGCACCTTAGAGAAAGAAAAATCTAACTTCATCAAACACCAATGTGTGGTCTGCTATGTGATCAAGGATCGAATTTGGGTTAATTTGATGAGTGAGGGTTAAATTTGGGTTAATTTTTGTGTGTTTATTGTATCGTATCATGGCCGGAGATGAGGCATTGGCCTTATCGGCAGCAGACAAGTTTGATCGAAGGAGGTTGTACTTGGGGATGGGGGATGGGTTCTTATTTTTCTTATTTCTTCATCAAACGCTTTTTTTTATACTTTTACTCATGACATTTAACCATGTACAATAAAAGATAGGACTTTAAAAAATGATAAATTGATTATAAATTGATCATTTCTCTCATATAAATTGGTCTTCTAGCCATCTCTCCATGATTCATCCAAATATCACTATATCTACAAGTCTCACTTGCAGAACGCATCTAAAAGACAAAAAAGAAATTATCAGATTTGGGCCAGGTCCGTAATTATGACTGCCACATCTAAAATTTATTTTTTTTATCTTTTAGCTAAGTCCGCAAGTGACCAATGTAGGACTTGCGGAGATAATGATATTTAGATAAATCCAATTTATATATGAAAATGGACAATTTTGACCAATTTTACAAAACAAAAATACCTTAGTTGAAGCATAAGCACCTGATGGCAATCCAATTTGTTTTGTAAAATGTGAGGCGCAGCCCGGTTTGACCCCAGTTGAGAGAATGGGAATATCCAAAAAAACGTCCAAGTTCATTGAACCCCACCCACCATACAAATGATCTTTCCAAAACAAATTTTACTTTCCCTTTCCCATTCCCATATCACCACCTCAGCCTTGCATTGTCCATTAAATTCTCGCTTTCTGTAAACCCTTGCTTTTTGTTCCCATTCAATCAGTCAGTTTTTTCCGATGACGGCGGCTGCCATCGGAGCTGCAAACACCGCCCTGGTGAAGGATCCCAAGCTTCAGTTCAAAAGTTTTGATGGATTGAGGAACAATTCCTGCTATTCGTCTACTTATTCGCTTCTATTGGACAAACGCATACACCCAATTTCATCGGTCTCTTCTTCTAATTCTCCTGCCGTCATCAGGGCTGTTTCTACGGTACCAACATTTTAATCTACTCTGCAAGATCTTAGTTGATTGATTGTCTTCTTTTTTTGCAACATTGATTCGGTGATGCTTTTCCTTCCACGATTTGAGATTTAGCATTTGAAATTTTGAGTGATGTGTTTTTGCATTATCTAATGTCAAATGAAATCTGGTTTTGATTTAGCTTCCATGTCTTTTGTATGATGAGATTTAGCAGTACGATTAAGTTATGTTAATGTTTGAAAAAGGGGGAAATGAGTTTATTTTGCATGATGATTATGGTTGCCAAAGGATACATTCATACAGAAGATCTTTTCTCTTTCATTACGATGATGGATACATAGAATGTGCTTCTTTAATTGTTCATGAATTCAGAAAGTTCTTGAACATTTCACTGCACCTTATGGCCTTTCACTTAGCGAAATACTTTTACGGCTGAAGGATTGTCATCCTATCTATATTATCTTAGTACAGAATCATTTGAGTGGTTCTGAAGCTACATCTGTTTGTTTTTCTCTTCAACCGGACCGAGACCTTCCATTGTATATCAAGCACAAACCTCAACTTTAAAGAATCATCTTGTCTCTTATTGAAGTATCTGCACTTGCAACAGATCACATTCTGTTTATATGAATCTTCCGGTGTAAATTTAATCTGATATTATATCTTATGAAGATAATTGTCTCTGAGTTTATATAACGTTTTTGCAGCCACTGAAGCCGGAAACTTCTATTGAGACTAAGCGAAGCAAGGTTGAGATATTCAAGGAACAAAGCAACTTCATACGGTATCCTCTTAATGAGGAGTTATTGACTGATGCACCTAATATAAATGAGGCTGCCACCCAATTGATCAAGTTCCATGGAAGCTATCAACAATATAACAGAGATGAGCGAGGTGCCAGGTCATATTCGTTTATGCTTCGTACAAAGAACCCATGTGGAAAGGTTTCCAACCAACTGTATCTTGCAATGGATGATCTTGCTGATCAGTTTGGAATTGGAACTCTACGGTTGACAACCAGACAGACATTTCAGCTCCATGGAGTCGTGAAGAAGGACCTTAAGACGGTGATGAGCACCATCATCAAAAACATGGGATCGACACTTGGTGCATGTGGTGATCTCAATAGAAATGTTCTTGCTCCTGCTGCCCCTTTTGTGAGGGAAGATTACCTTTTTGCACAGCAGACAGCAGACAACATTGCTGCACTCTTAACTCCCCAGTCTGGATTTTATTATGATATGTGGGTAGATGGGGAGAAGTTCATGACTGCAGAACCACCCGAAGTTGTCAAAGCTCGCAATGATAATTCTCATGGGACAAATTTTCCAGATTCAGCTGAGCCTATATATGGAACTCAGTTCTTGCCAAGAAAGTTCAAAGTTGCAGTTACTGTGCCTACGGATAACTCAGTTGATCTTTTGACAAATGACATTGGTGTTGTGGTTGTTTCTGATGATAATGGAGTACCTCAGGGTTTCAATATATATGTATGCCACCTATTAAATTAAATATACTCGTTTATTGTTTGTTCTGATTTGGATATATGTAGGAACACTGCTCATATATTAATTTCTTTTCAGGTTGGTGGTGGCATGGGAAGAACACATAGGATGGAAACCACTTTTCCCCGCCTGGCAGAGCCCTTGGGTTACGTCCCTAAAGAGGATATTTTGTATGCAGTGAAGGCTATTGTTGTTACACAACGAGAAAATGGCAGAAGAGATGATCGCAGGTATAGTAGAATGAAGTACTTGATAGATTCGTGGGGGATCGAAAAGTTTAGGTCTGTTGTTGAACAGTACTATGGAAAGAAGTTTGAACCGTCCAGGGAGTTACCTGAGTGGGAATTTAAAAGCCATCTGGGATGGCATGAGCAGGTTAGTTCAATCAACATGCATTGACCAATGACCGCTAAATAAAGCTTCAATTTGATCTCAAATTGTCTTCATTAACTTTGGTGTCTTTGTAATTCTTGTTGATGTTTATTCTTTTAATTTTCCGTTGCTTAGAGTTGAGTATGCAAGCTTTTTTTGTGGCAGGGCGATGGTCGTTTATTTTGTGGGCTTCATGTCGATAATGGTCGGGTTAAGGGAACTATGAAGAAGACATTACGGGAAATAATTGAGAAGTATAACTTGAATGTTCGGATCACACCAAACCAAAACATTGTCCTTTGTGATATTCGGCCCTCTTGGAAACGCCCCATCACTGTAGCTCTAGCACAAGGTGGTCTATTGGTAAGACATCTGTCTATTCACATGGCTTTCACATATATATGTATATATAGTTGAATTTGTTACTTTTGAATTGGAGCTGACCACATATTTTGTTTAAAGTGCAATGTTGACATGTATAAAGATGGATATTGTTTTAATGTCTTTATTTTGTGAAACAAAGAGACCCAGATATCCTTCTTGTCTTCTCAAGCTTATGAAGTATATAAGTATCATTCTTTTTTTTGTTTTGAATCACTTATCCATGAAGTTATACATTATTATTTCGAGTATGGTATCTATGTGTTCTGTCAATTTGCATTAGACTTTGCATTTTGACAACTCACAGTTGGGACAATTATTATGTATGTAAATTTTAAATTGCTCATATACTTGAAGTGAATCACCAAAAATCTCTTCGTGATAGGTTTCTCTTGGTTGCAATGAAGTCAGCTTTGATGTTTATGTTTACTGTTATAAAACGATGACCTAACTTCACACCTCTGTTAGAGCCTCAGCCTGTTAATTATCGGTTTTGTCAATTATGTAGCTATATTTGGTTATGCAACTGGTGATGGATAACTAATATATTATTATCTTATGGGGATTGTTGCTAATATAATGCCTGTGATTTTTGGCAGCCCCCTACTTATGTGGATCCCCTTAACATAACTGCAATGGCATGCCCTGCTCTGCCTCTCTGCCCTCTTGCAATAACAGAAGCTGAGCGAGGGATTCCTGACCTCCTTAGGCGGGTTCGAGGTGTATTTGAGAAGGTATGAAGACCCTCCTAACCTAAAACATGTGACTGGCTTTTATATTTGAATTAACAGGCATGGATGCATATTGTGATCTCAGGTTGGTCTCCAGTATAATGAATCCATAGTAGTGAGAGTTACGGGTTGCCCTAATGGCTGTGCTCGACCCTACATGGCTGAACTTGGATTAGTTGGTGATGGTCCTAATAGCTATCAGGTACTTCAATCCTCCTTTGTTAAGTGTGTTTTATTTTTATCATCACTCTTTTTGTTTTTGGCTAGATCATGAAAAGAAAATGACATTTGTCTTTAATTCTGTAGATCTGGCTCGGGGGAACACCGGCTCAAACTACATTAGCCAGAACTTTCATGAACAAGGTTAAGATTCAGGACCTTGAGAAAGTTTTCGAACCGTTGTTCTACAACTGGAGATTGAAGAGGAAGTCTAAAGAATCATTTGGTGACTTCACAAATCGCATGGTGAGATTCATGCATATTTGAAAGAATTCTAATTTCTTTTTGATAAAGAGTTCCACATTGGACCATTTCTTCTCTATGTACGTTGGAACCTCACTTCTTTCCTCAAGGGCTCTCGTGGAGATTGATGCTAATAAACATTTCCTTTTGTCCAGGGATTCGAGAAGCTTCAAGAGATAGTCGACAAATGGGAGGGCGTACCAAAATCATCATCCCGATACTACTTGAAACTTTTTACCGACAAGGAAACATATGAAACTGTGGATGCACTTGCACATATCGAGAATAAGACTGCTCATCAGCTGGCAATGGAGGTCATCCGTAATTTCGCTGCTTCACAGCAAAATGGCAAAAGCAAGTAAGCAACTATTGTTACGGAAACGACAGGAATAAGAGTATGTTTTCTATTTATACTCTAGCGTGTTTCAATTTGGCTGTTGATTCATATTTTCTTCCAAACTTGCTGTTTGTTTTGACCTTTTTTTTGGTTTTTCCCTTAGAGTAGGATTTGATCTTCCAAATGATGTTTACAGAACAATGGATTTTGTGTTGTTTATGTAGGTGTTCCATTTTTGATATGGTCTCATATTGCATCTTCTTTGTTCTGTATCATAAGCTTCCAGATATCAAAACTGTGTTTGGTTTCTATCCATCACCTATTGTGTCTATAGAAACAGCAGCGCTCTATCCTTTTGTGTAAATGACAAGTCTGTGTACATCCGGCCTCCTATGCCCTGCTTTCGAGTGGGATATACTGGGATGTTTTGTTTGATTTCGTTTAGAAATTGAAGATTTCAGTGTTGAGTTGATCTCTTATGAAACTAGGAACCACTTTTTATAACCATTCTGTTTTTGATGAAAACATGTTGGCTATTGTTCGAAGTACTTCATGCACACCATAACATATCATCACTGTCCAAGCCGTCTACGATTACGAGATGATTCCATGGACTCCATTCTATGCTAAGGGCCGTTTACCGAACGCTCCCAGGGTTACTTATGGTGAGAATGACAAAGGAACAAGAATCTTACCTAGTAATATGCATGGCAAGGATTGAAAATCTTGCTGGATAAGTGAGATGGTGATTCGCATACCCTGTCATTGCTTACTGTGTAAGAGATGCTTACCAACAATCTCACTATGTAATTTTGATGGTCGAGAATCTTGTTCGCTAACGTGAGGGTAACTTTTACTCAGTAAACTTTACCTAGATAGCGATTTTTCAATGGTATGATAAAATAATACCGTAATATATAATAAAAAAAAATTAATTCAGGAAATTCAATGAAGTACACGACGAAACACAATGGTTATGCCGTTGGCTTTATACCAAAAGAAAATTGAAAGCTACAACTCTTACAAAGCTAAGGTTAAAGACATAGATGTGATATATACAAAGTTCAACGTAAGATTTAATTGTAAACTGAAAATTCAATTGTTTGTAAGTTTATTTTGTTATGAAATTTTGTATTTGGAAATGGGTCAATGATGAGGTGAGGATTTATAAAAATCTCAAATGTGTATGTATCTTGCGAGGTTTTGCTTCTACAAAAACTCAACATAAGACAACTTTGTAATAAATGAAAACTAGTTGTGTACCTGCGCAATGCGGCCGGAGCCATGAATTTTAACGATTTTGAAGTTCCACTGGTTTTATAAGATAAGATTTAACGATAATATAGATTACACTTGGTCTTTACATATTAATACAATTTGAATAAATAAGAGTTATGGTTCCAATTACAGACCATCGATGAAAAAAATTGTATGACAGTTTAAAATCCAATATATTTAAAATCAAACATATTTAAACGACTCCACAAATGTGTTCTATTTACACCAAGAGCAAAGAACCAAGAAACTTGAGTTTTAAGATAAACACTCAAAACCAATAAAGAAAACTACAAATTTGACGGATCATAAGCCATAAAAAGACAAAAAAAGATGGGTTTTAGAATAAAATTTCAACTGCTTATCATCTTTCTTGTCCATAAACTCGGATTAAGGTTGAATTAATACATGTATATATATATATTTCAAAAAAACCCAAGAACATATTAATTCAGAACATATTATACAGTGGAATTTGGACAGCCTAACCCTAAAATGTATAACATATATATAAATAAATAACTATAAAAGTATAAATCGTAGACATTAAAAATATTTTTTCACAGTATATATAATATATATAATAATATAATTAAGTCAAAAACTATTCAATATTGGACTCATTTCGAAGGTATTAACGAGACGATTATAATGGTGTAACTTGTTAAAATAAAAATGTATTTTTTAAACATGTTTTAATTGATATACGATTATGTATGTTAATTTGATAAATGTTTAAAATGAAACATTTAAAAGTAAAGAACGTAAATTAATTAATTAACTAATTATAGGGATATAAAATGTAAATTTAAAATTATAATTTTAAAAAAAATTAGTTGAATGTGAGATGATAAGTGTATGTGAGTGGGTGAGTGTATGTGAGAAGAGGAAGGGGTGAAAAAGTGAAAAGGGTATTTTGGTTATTTAGTATTTTAAGACTTTAAGACTTTTGCTAAATTTGCTTAATAAGATAGTATAGATTAAAGACCAGTTTCATCAACAACAATATAGTTTAGGGACAGAATTGTAATAAACAAAAACTATGATTCTTGTTTATAACAATTTTCGTCCTTGGCTTTTTCGTCCCTAGGCTAACTCGTGAAATTTCAACAATTAACTAAAAGGGTATTTTGGTCTTTTTGACTATTTTATTTATTTTTTCTTACTCTTTTCTCACCAAGCTCCATTTTCGGCAATTGACAACATCCGTGGCTTTCCGTTGCACCTGCACCTGCACCTGCACCTGCACCACAGATCACAAACACCTTTCCCAAACTTGCAACCCCTTGATGAACCCATCTCCAGCTCTCCCTCAAACAACCATCTCCGGTGATCCCCCTCTAGCCCACCATCTTCTTTCTCCTCCTATGCTATACCCACACCCACATTCCCTTCTATGACCCCTGCCCATAACCTCTTCTGACACCTAATATCTAACTTTTGAGTACGCCATAACCGACAGATTCACTCAAAAGAGTGATATTTATGCATTTGGCGATGGACAACACTGGTTTGTGATTCAACTTCAAATGGTTTTTTGGGTTTCCTCCTCTGATCTTGATTCAACCTTAGGGAATGGTTTGTTGGGTATTTGGTTTGTCCCATATAGACCCAATCTTAAGATTTCAAGTGCCTTATATTACCAAGGCCATACCTAGTGTCAAAATGCCTAACTATCTAGTTGGGTTCACTGCATATTAAATATCAAGAGGGCCTTGGGCCTGGGGGCTCTTGGTATCGTTAGCGAGATGACTTGGTGCTAGGAAGCAGTGTGCGGCCAATACTTGGCTCTGTCCGACGGTTATCGTCGGTTAACCGACAGTTAAAGTGTATACGGTATACAATAAATGCTCCTTCCATTTCTCGTTTTTCTCAGACGAAAAATACAGAAACTTTCTTGGGTTTTGGCGCATCTGTTCCTATCGATATCATCAGGGACATAGTCGATTCGACGGGTTCAAGTATCTTTCTTGAACGGATTGTTGTATCCTCTAGATAGACGTCCAATTCACCGGACGAATTTCTGTCTTCGTGGATTCACATCTACACAATCAAGTTAGTCATCGAATTCCAACTTATTTCTCTGTCATTATGCTTCTGTAATTATACATGTATATATGCTGCTATATATATATATATATATATATATATATGAATTTCTGGTTCTGTTTTGAATTCAATATTGTTGTGCAAATAAATTTTCATTTTTGTATCTAAGTCATAACAATCTTAGACAGAAATTTATGACGATGGATCAATCTTCCCTATTGAAATTGCATGTGGAAAAACCAGAAAAGTTTAAGGGTTCCGATTTCAAGAGATGGCAACAGAAAATGTTATTCTACTTGACAACTTTGAAGGTGTCAACGTGCTTACCGATCAAGTACCGACACCTCCGGTTGGAGAAGGAGAAAACGCTCCTACCCAGATTCAAATGGCCGCGTTCCAACGATCGGTCGATAATTGGAACGTTAATGAATATAATTGTCGAAATTATATTCTTAATGGCCTGGACGATAGTCTATATGACATCTACCCATCCTTTAATTCGGCAAGGGAAATCTGGGAGTCATTGGAGTCGAAATACAAAACAGAAGTCGCCTGTTCAAAGCGATTTATTGTGGACAGATTTCTGAATTTCAAAATGAACGACTCCAAATCAGCCGTGAAGCAAGTAGAAGAACTCCAAGTCTTGGTCCACGAATTAGAAATCGAAGGTATGGGAATAAACTCTAATTTCCTTGTTGGTTCTATAATTGATAAGCTTCCTCCATCCTGGAAGAATTTTAAACTATATCTTAAACATTTGTCTGAGGATATGAGTTTTGAGCAACTCATACTCAAACTCCGGGTGGAGGAGGACAATCGGATGAACGAGAAGGCGGATGCAATCTCGTTGGAACCAACAAAAAACATGGTGACCAGCAGCTCATTTAAGCCAAAATTTCAAAGAGGCAAAGGCAAGGCTACGGGCACGGGTACGGGTACGGGTGGTAAGCATCATACCAATGCTTCAATTACATCATCCATTCAACGAAAGCCTTTCAAGAAAAAGCCTTTAAGCTGCTGGGTATGCGGTAAACCCGGCGAGACCATGGTGGTCCCGGTGGAGGAGGCAACGGTGGAGGGGGTGCCAGAGGAAACCCACATCAAGACAATGTTGTCAATTCTCCAAACCAATTCGTTGGAGTAATTGAGGCTTTCTTAGTCACTAATGTGATCGATTGGTAGGTCGATACCGGTGCTACCAAACACATTTGTAACTCCAAAAACCTGTTTGCAACTTATCAAAGTGTCAATGATGTAAAACCCAAAAAAAAAAATTGTGGAATAAATAATTTATCTTTATTAGTATTTTATTTTAAGAATATATATATAAATAAATATATATATATATATATAGATTAAATAAAAATAGAAGGTTGAAATAAGTCTAAAAGTCGGACCAAAAGTGAAGGAAAAAGTCAAGACATGGGTGAAAGTTGTCAATTCGCGGAAGTTAAGGGACTGGGTCGTGTGTAAGCAGGTCCAAACCAGAAGGACCTGTTTTGTAAATAGGCAACAGACCTGCAACAGGGTGGCCTGCTGTCAATGATCGAGAGAGGCAGAAGAGGAGCAGGCGGTGCCTGGTTCAAAAAGGGAAACTGTGACMTGCCGGTTGCAGGCTGTGGAGAAGCCRCTCACAGCCTAAAACTAGGGATTCGGCCGATTTGGTCAACTAATAGRCCAAATCGTTTGAGTATAAATTATGGACTCTGGTTAGGGTCKCTATTCATTTGAAAAGAAGAAGGAAATCGTTGAGCTTRAGAGAGAGAAACCGGAGTTCAAGACCAGGCAAKAACCCCCTTGCTTCCCGTCSTTTASAGGTAAWTACTCGACCAAATTTATGATTTAAACAATGTTAGCCGTGGCTTTGGCCCTATTTAGAACCCTAGAAGGCTCACGTCCAGACCTTGTGTTTTGGGAGTCAATTTCAAGGATTGGGTTTCTTTTGTTAAACACGCTGTATCGCATCCTGCTTAGAAGCCATCTTAGAGAATGCTACACAGAAGCTCTGCATAAGAGCTCTGTATCAAGTATGTTAGACAGCAGCTCTGCATGAAAGCTTTGTGTCATGCTAGCCAGAAGCTCTGCATGAGAGCTTCGTACCAAGTTATGTTATAGTGAAACTCTACAAAAGAGTTATGTATCATGTTAGACAGAGGCTCTGCGTGAGAGCTCTGTGTCAAGTTATGTTAGACANCAGAGGGGCTCTGGCCCTTGATGGAAAATTTCTTATAAGATTAGGAACCAGAGGCTCTGGTCGTGAGACCAGAAGCTCTGGAAGAGAGACCAGAGAGGCTCTGGTCCTGCGTTGAAATATTTTCTAAATGTGGCTAAGAACTAGAGGCTCTGGTCATGAAGACCAGATGCTCTGGAAGAGAGACCAGAGGGGCTCTGGTCCTGAATGCAAATATTTTCTAAGTGTGATTTAGAACCAGAGGACCGATGGACGGGTTACTAAATATTTTCTAAGTGTGGTATACAACCAGAGGGGCTCTCGTCCTAAAGGACTTAAGAGCCCAGAGGCTCTGTCAATACCACCAGAGGCTCTGGTCGTTCACAGAGGATCCGRCCTTCTTCCAGACTTAGTCATTTTAAGATATATAGCTAGACAATACACATTATGTTGGAACTCACGTTTCTATAACTTTGATTGATGAGAGGAGCATTTAAGCATAGTTGACCAAGGTTGACCCTAGCCAACGTAGTTGACTGTAAGTTGACTTTTATGTAGCCTTTGGGAGAAATTATTCATTGATATGCTATATGCTATTATAAATTGTAGGTTACCAGTCAGCAGCGTTAGATAAGCAATCTACATTATCAGGTGAGTCTTCATGAGACTTACAATGGGATGCATACCTGTGTATAAATTTATTTTCAAGCATTATACGATTTATATGATGGTGGTACAAATGCATGATGTTTCAGTTTACATWCATGATATGTTTTACATGTATGACGTTTTATAATCAGTTGCATGCTATGTGTTTAATCATGTTCGAATAACTCTAGCATGCTTTTCCATACTAAAGTTTGATGATTTAAAGGTGGGCATTTGACCAGTAAGTCACGACCAGTATGAAACACTACCCGGACAAGTGGGTGATAAGTTAAGATTGTGATACCCAGGGGGTGTTGGTGACTGATAAGTCAAGACCAGTATAAAACACTACCCGGACAAGTGGGTGATCAATCGAGAATGAAGTATCAACCCAGGATGTGTTTGTGACTAAATGACCCATTCCAGACAGATAATTTATGAGATCTCATTTCTTTCAGTGTTACATGTTTTCAGAAATTGCATGCTACTCGGTACAAGGTTTACAAGTTGAAATATATGACGTACAATGTTTTTATACACGAAAACCATGAACTCACTGAGCTTTATAAGCTGACTATAGTATGCATCTCAGGCCCAGGTAGTTCGAGGACAGATAAAGGCAAAGGACATGCTTAGAGTGTTGCTTATTATTATCTCGTTTTAGTCTTTTGTCTAAGATACGCTGTAATGATCTTTTGTAACTTAACCCCAAGAGAAGGTGGGTTTGAACTTAAGTTAAAATTCTGATGATTTAGAGACTTTCGCTGTAATAGTTAAATGGTTTTAATTTAGCCATTACTTTGGTGTATTTATTAAGGAAATGTTTCAGATCTCGTAACATCTCTCTTGATGAAAATGAGGGTGTTACAAGTTGGTATCAGAGCCTTAGTTTAAGGTAATTAGGCTAAAACTTGCTTAGCTTAAGCTTAAACTGAGAATATTGTTAGAGCTTTAGTTTAAGGTAATAAGTTAAGATTTACTTAGCCTAAGCTTAAACTGAAGGGATTATTAAAAGCACATGTTTATTGTGTATTGGCGATGCTTAGCATGCGATTAAGTTTGATTCTACGTCACTACTCGACTTAGTATTCCTTTTTATTTATAGGAGACGTGGTTCACACCATTCACACCAGGGCTATCAGACGCGGGCGCGGACGCGGATACGGAACCCGTAGGACGCCTTACGGGCTAGGACCGAATAGAGGGTCGATTGACAGTCACCGCCCCAGCACCGGACAGGTTCCCTGTACCCGGTCCGGAAGCGATAGTCCGGCCCACACTGGTGAAGTGTCATCACACGAGCCCATCAGGCAAGGGACCACACCCGAACCTTCGGTGGACTACACGCCCCGCACCCCGACACGCGAGGACATGATGGAGACTATAGAGACCCTGGAGGGCGAGAACACAAGACTAAAGGAGAGGTTGACCCGAACTTTAGGTGACAATACTAGACTAAATGAATGGCTGGGAAATCTTCAGCGGGCACATGTCGATCAAGGAGAAGCCCTAATCAAACTAATGAAAGAGAATGCAGATTTGTCGGACCAGTGTCATGCCCTGATTTGGGATAAGGTTGTACTCGAGCAAGAACGAAGAATTGATGCTCGCCCCGTAGGCACCAGAATCAGGGACATGATTCGCTTCTATAAGAGAGTGACCATAGACTATGCTGGCGTAGTAAAGGGCTATCTCTCCAACTGGGTTCGATGCATCAGAAATGGCCCAGGGGCTAGTGTATTGTGGCATTGCATACCATCTACATCCTATGAGCAGTGGTTGAGGGACCCTTATCTCCCTTACTATCCCGCAGATCAATTTTAGACTTGGGAACAGGGATGAGAGAAGAATATTTGAGTAGGTGAATTTATTTGTATGTGTCTAAATAGTTTTCATCTAGCGAGTGCGTCGATAGATTTTTGGAACTTTCACCTGTGTTTAGGACTTTGAAGCATCCCATCTTTTGTAAGTAAATGGGATTTTGTAATGTCTCTCTCCCCAGGATTGTATCAGAACGAAATATATATATATATATATATATATATATAAATCTTTTGGAGCATTATGCAATCGCGACGTGAATTCCTTATCATGTATTTTGCTGATATATATATATAGTGATTTTACTATATATGTATTAAGTCGACACTAGAACCTTGTTGAAACAATAATACTCTATTGTGTCAGTATGGTTTCTTGCGGATCAACAAGGAACGCCCGCAATGGGGGAGGTATCAATGGCGTAGCCCAACCGACAGTTCGGGGACGGACACAAGCCCAAAGTCGAGGTCGCGGAAGTGTCCAAACCGCTAGTTCAAGTACGACCCCATCCGCGCCAGCTAGTTTGGCTATCGGTAGGAGCCAAGGGGGCCAAGGAGGAGAAATTCCTCTCACAAAGGAAATGATGGCTGAACAAATGACACAAGTCCTCCGGAATACGTTGCCAAATATGCTTAAAGAAATGTTGGGTGACAGACTTAAGGATAATAAAGGTGGGGAGGAAGGAAGCGTTCGACACAAGAACACTCAAGTCCCTGAAAGGGTGGAAGTGTCTGATAAAGAGAAGGTGGAGTCGCTCATCATCGAGAGAACCGAGTTGACTGCAAAGGAGAGAGGATGTAGTTTTAAAACATTCAAAGGCACCGGGCCAAAGGAATTAAAAGGAATAGAGGGCCCAGTTGGCCTGATGAACTGGGTAGCCAAAATGCAGAGCTGCTTCAAAATTTGTAGATGCGCGGAAGATCAAAAGGTGACTTATGCTGCTACAACCTTTGTGGACTATGCGTTGCATTGGTGGGAGTCTGAATGTGCAATCAGAGGTGATGAGGATATTGCTGCCATGACTTGGGAGCAAATGAAAAAGACGATGATGGATAAATACTGCTCGCAAACGTAGTTGAACAAGCTAGAATCTGAATTTCTGAGATTGAAGCAAGGATCGTTGTCAGTTCAAGAATATGTTAACGAATTTCTTGAAAAAGCGAGGTTCGCCAGCTACCAGGTGGCTACCGAGGAGAGAAAGATAGGTCGTTTCAAGGACGGCCTAAGGATCGAAATCAAACGTTACGTGGACATGACCAAGCCGACCACGTTTGTCCAAGCAGTAGAAATGGCAAAAGTAGCAGAAGAGAACAATGCAAGGGAGAACCATGATAGAAGGGATGCAAAGAGAAGATGGGAAGGATCGAACAAGTCCGACAAGAAGCCAAAATGGACTCCGACTTTGGCAAAAACACAAAGTGAGGGATTCTCTATTCCTCAATGTAGCAAATGCAACAAGAGGCATAAGGGAGAGTGCAGAGCAGGGAGCCTGACGTGCTATGGAT